CTAACACACGATACAGAGGCCCAGCTTGTACTTCAGTGTTCACTCTGGCCTCTCCTGAGTAAAGCAGAGACAAAACACAAATGAAGTCATCGGAATTCTGAAACTTCAAAGTGCCACTCATATATTTACAAGTATATTTATAAGTATCTAACATATACTGTAGGTTATGGCACACTGCATGAATTGTGCATAGAACATCCATTGATATACAGGTGCACACAATGTTTTCAGAAAGATTTTGATATTTTTTATTTTTTGAGGTCTTATTTCCCTGTGGAAATATGTTTGTATGACATTTATGATTAAAAGAAAATGTTTGCAAGTTTTGTCAGATATCACGTGTAACGATGTGGCCTGTTGGCTCGATTGGCTTTATTTATTTCATGCAGGAATATATTTTTCCCCACAGAAAGCAAACATTACTACTTTGTCATAAAAGTGATTCGTGAAAAGTGAAAATAATTTGGAGGAGCTAATTTTCTGTAGCAACTAAACTGATATTAAACTATGGAGACCAAAAAAGAATTAACATTTATCAATCAGTGAGTTTACTCTGAGGTTTTTGCTAAATACAATTTCATAAAATGTGAAAAAACATTTACAGACAACACAAACAACATCTCTGAGACATTAAAATTAATATTAACCAACTACTTGAATTCACTGTACTACTTACCACAATATAAAAGTGGACCCAAGCAGAGAATCACACCCGCCCTCCAAAGAGAGAGCACGAAACTCATCGTGAGCCTTCAACTTCAGGCTCAACAGTGTACGTCCTCGGCTGCGATCAAGCCCTTGGTTAATGTGTACTGTATGATCTCTCTGTGCCTTTTCATGCCTTGATTTGCCTGCGCTTCAGGTACATTACGAACCTCTGTGAAACCTTTCACGCCGTAAATGGGAACATAATGACGTGCAATTTCTTGGAAATGTTATTCCGCGTCCCGCTGAGGGAGACGGCTACTATTGTGATTGGCCTGTTCAGACTGCTCCTGTGCATTTCCGGTGTTCTGACAAAACGCCCTACTTTGGCAAAACGTCCTACCGTAAGTAGTTTATGCACATTTCTGCTGTCACAGAGTCATTCCAGCACAAATGTAAGTAGGTACGACGGTTTGCCACTTAACTTTGCCCATCAGAGTATGCTTGTAGCTCATAATTATAAAGCCAGGACGGTTTGCCACTTCATTTTAGCCATTAAAGTATGCTTGTAGGTCACATTCACAAAGGCAGCATGGTTTGGCACGTAATTTTACCCGTCAGAGTATGTGTCTAGCTGTTATTAACAAAGGTAAGATGATTTGCCACTGAATTCTAGCTGTAAAATTATGCTTCTAGCTCATATTCACAAAGGTAGGATTGTTCGCCACTTAATTTTAGCTGTTAAAGTATGCTTATACGTCACATTTACGAAGGTAGGAGGGTTTGGCACTTAATTTTACCCATCAGAGTATGTTAGTAGCTTATATTCACATAGGTAGGATGGTTCGCCACTGAATTTCGTGTTGTGCGCATGCGTAGAAACAACGGGTAGGATGGATTCCCAGAACACTCGGCCTCGTACATGTCAGTGAATTCCTGTCGGGAAATTGCCAAACAGTGTACGAAGAAGTGGGAAAACTGGAACGATAACGGGGCTTCTTTTTTTTCTTGCTTCCCCAAAACGAGTGGGGAGAGAGAAAGGCAAAACTGACCACCGCTAGACATTACAAATACATGTCTTAAAGATAAAACCTGCTGGACAGCAAGTCGCTTCCACCTCTGAATTCGTGCAAACGAAACTCATGTCTTTGCTCATTCCCAGCAGGTGATGCACGTTTTTGACATTGACATTTACATCCTTGATCAGATTCTTGCATAGGCAGCTTGAGATAAAGTAGTTAATTATGCTGCTTAGGACCACCCCATATAAATTCGGCCCCTTACTGCAAACTTTGCAAGCTTGAATGTGGTTGTTTGAATGATGCTGTATATTAATGAGGCAATAATACCACCTAGTGGAGAACATAAAGACGTACAGTTTATCCAGTCATATTCAAATCGGCATTTTAATTTGCAGACTGCTTAAAAATAGTGGGGGACTTTATTTTTATTATTATTTTTAATTATTATTATCAATTCATAAAAATAACAAAATAACGTTTTATGTGTTTGTCATTCTCTCCCTTGATGCCATAAAAAATATTCTTAGGTATGTTCAAAAAAGGCATAAAGAGCTTCACAGCAGCAGTTTCTACTCTTAATAACCTAGGCACTGTTGCAGACTGGTGACCTGTCCAGAGTACACCTCGCCCTGTGGTGGCTGGGAAAGGCTCCAGCCCCTCCAGGACCCTGAATTGGACATGCAGATGAGAATGAATGGATGTATTCAACAGAAATGCTAAGAAAGTATTTTAGGTAGGAGACTGTATTAGTCCTTAAACAAAATACACATTTGTGAGACAAATACAGAAAGTAGTATGGGGAAAAAACATTTTATGAAGTGAGTATCAATCAGAAAACATCCATCTATCCTTATTACCATATTCACCATATTAAATTCTGGTTAAGAGAAAAGAGACTTGAAATGATGAAAGAAAATGTATTCTAGTGTAAACTGTTCAGGACACGTGTTCAAGAATAAAAATATTAGAAATTCACTCTGAATGAGACAGAATAGAAACTGAAAACAAAACAGAAATGCTCTGTAGGCTAAACCGTGAAGCTTCTACAGGCCACATGCCAATCAGTGATATTTTTAATTAGCAGCAAAAAAAGAAAACCAGCTAGAGATGCAACGTGTTTTTACCTTTCCCTGCACTGCCATGCTTCGTCCCTGTATGAATCAGCATGGATTATAATCATAACAAAGACAGAAACTAGGGATCTATAGAAGTAATATATGGCACAGATTCCCAATTTATTCACACCTCCTATGGAACAATACATAAATAACACCAGGATATTCCTACATCTCAACTAGATCATCTCTTTGTCCTAAAGTCCTATTTTGAGACTTACAGTGTTTCACAGGCCTGCATGTTTCATTGTCACATCAAGCTGCTGCTCAAAATGCAAGTGAAAGACACATTTACAGAAACATTGAAAGAAATAAGGGTTAAGTTTTCCAGAATTATAGATTTGATTAAAGAAAATTAGGGGGATGGAGATCTTGGCTGTGAACCAGAGGCTATGGAATCCGTTTGGAGCCACCCATAAGGACCAGCGAGTTTCCAAGGACAACTTCTGTTCCTTCAGGAAACTGCAGTCACCTTCTATGAGTGCTCACACGCTGTTGTTTTAGCAGACTTAACATGTTTGCAGTCTAAATGTTGGGGAATATTGCTGACATTTATATTTTGGACTAATTGGAATTTCTTTTCTTGCAGTTTTAGGATCTTGAACACTGGAATCTTGAGCTGATGATGGCTCTGGACTCAATATCGAAGGACCACAAAACTCAGTAGCTGTACTGAAGTTAACAACCATCAGATCGTCTTTATTATTATTGCCAACACGATGGAAAAGAAATATTGCATCCTGTTGTTGGAGCTAGATGGAAACCTAGGGGTTCGTCAACGTTATCTAGACATTTCACCCAAAAAATGTCCTCATGGTGGTGCTAGAGGAGAGGCCACAGGATCCACAACATTACAAGTGGCATTAATATTCTTCCTGGCACTTTGCCATTTAAGTGTGCTAACCAACCAGACAGGCAGCATGCACAACTGACATATGAAATCTACTCATTGTTTGTGTATGCAGGTATGGACAAACAGAGTCATTGTTTTTGTAAAAGCAGTCTTCTTTCAGTGTCATTTCCCATGAAAAGAAGGGGAAATGTAGGCTTACAAAGATTGTATGCCTACTGCTTTAATATCACTGACCTCTATCATATAAAACTATATAAAATCATATCCTTCAATGCAACATTTGTGCAGTGATTTGCCTTCCAAATTTTGTGGGTTTTTTTGTTTGCCCCGACAGTCATTGCCATGGCAACACAAGCAAGTGAAATTACAGTAACGTTTAGAGGGAGGCTGTACCAAGGAGCCAAGTCCACCACTTTGTAAAATTCAACAAATTCAAAAATTCAAAACAGCACAACAACATTTCTCTGAGGCCAAGAGAACTACAGTCTGCCATAAAGTGCTCTTTTAATCTCTCACATCTTTCAGAGCGACGCTGCAAGTTTTACCTCAACTTTATACAAACACCACACAAAAGCCTTCCTTTCAGCTGTTCACTGAAAAGTAAAGGCAACAAGTTGATTCAATTGTAGTCTTTTGCACAGATGGAATGTTAAAGATTCATAGAGGGTGATGAAGGAAACATTGAGTGAAATAGAGAAAGAATGACAGTGTGAACAGCACACATATATAGTACATTGCATTCTATGAGCCCCTACATAGCCACACACTATTATTATTTATGTCTTTTTATATTTTTTTAATTTGACACATTGACACGTCAAAGTGCTGACTTTATTTTTTCACTCACATCAACATAAAAACAGTCTTTCAGGGGCAGTAGACCTGCCCAAGCCTATAACTTTTGAAAAAATAAAATTCATAGAGGAATACAATCCATAAAAAAGTAACACTCAAGAGCCAGTGGGACAAATGCAAGATGAATAACCATGAATTAAAATGCTTTAAATGGCTGACCAATACCTATGTCCACCATATGTGTGCAGTTCATTTTTACAATCCATTGATATTCAGTATCTTATCTAATGATGAACTGTCAAGGTCTATTCTTTAGATGTCTTTTATCTTCAGTTAAAAATTAAAATGATTGAATTTAAAGAATTATTATTATAGAATTATTGTTTCAAGCCACAGCAATGAAAAAAAAGTAATACTAGATTGCATGTGACAAACATAAAATAAATGAAACACACACACACACATATATAACACTGTGCATCATGGCTCAGATGCAAATGAGAAATACTGTCATCACCAAACAATTTTTGTAAGCTTTAGCAAAACAATTTTGTAACGATAGCAAAAAAAGGGAAAAGTTTGCATTAGTAAGTATCTTGTGAAAATTCTTAAAAACATTGTGGCAATCAGTAGCTAACATTTAAATGTCTGACACATGGACATCTCAGCAGGATTTCAAGACCACAGTCATTCTGAGCATTACCACAGCACTTCCCGGTTGAGTAATTGCTGAACTAGTTAGACATTCACCACAATTTATGCTTATAACTGCATGAAAACATGCGACATTGCAACGTCTTCGCAGATGTGAAGCCACAGACTCACCACAGTTTAGCTGCTTGTGCATTCGGGCCTTAAAAATGAGCAGAAGAATCTATAAAATGAGAATTGCCTTTCTAAATGTAGTTTCATTAACTCCTAAAGAAAAAAAAATTTTCCTACCTGTACTAAAAGTAAATCAGCAGAGCTACTTCATGGAATGTTATAAACAAATGAATGAACACAATTATTTAAATGGAAAATTTTACATATTTTTGCATCATATCTAAAAGAAACCAAAAAAAATGTCTTTGCTGTTCAATCGTCTCCACTGGGTTTGTTGTTCATAGGTACTGATTCAGCCCAGAGAGATGAAGAGGAGTTTTTTCCTTGTGAGCCTTTACTTCTGCACACCTTGAACATCAGTAATAATATAACCACCACCATAATGATGAGAACTGCAATAATGATTGTATAGGTTGTTGTGTTGCATTCAGATACGGTATTAGCATTAGCATCACCTGCAAAGAAGAAGACAAAGAAAGGTGTTTCCAAATGATGTTGTGATATTTACTGAGAGAAATGACTAAGTGTGTTAAGACATGCCTACCTTCTGTGAGAACACTGACATTCAAATGCCCTGACTTTTCCACTGCAACTTTTCTCCACCCACGAGACAGAGAAGGCAGCCACTCCTCTACCTCACAGAAATACAGGCCACTATTATCAGGACCAGGGCTTGAGAACGTGAGGCTGAATTGGCTGGGGTCAGGGTGGTCGTATCTCAGGCGAACATTCTCCCCAAACCTGTGTTGCTGAATGGAGTTTCTGTAGACTGTGAATATTGGGCGCTGTTTAGTTTCTATTTCTTTCTGCCAAAACCATGTGACCTGGAACTTGGATTCATGGCTTGATTGTTTGTTGATGTTACAGGGAATAGTAAAATCCTGGTTTCTGCTTATATTCATCGCTGTATCTTCCTTTGAAACAGAGAGATTATTTTCTGTGAAAAAGGACAAGGGCAAAACTTTAGTTTATTAAGGTAACTAATCAGTGAGACCTAATGAAATTCAGTTATACTGACACACAAGGGAGAGCTTGCAAACAGCCAAACAGAAAAAATGAAACAATCAACAGCAAAAAAAGAGAGGTGCCCAGAAGACAACTGAGAAGAGTTGGATATTTTGTCAAGGTTTTGGGAATTACATTTGATTCCTTTTTTATAGAGTTAAATTAGATGATAACACTAACTAATATATGGCTGATACAAAGTTACAGCAAGACGATTAAAGATAGTCTCTTGTTCATGTCTAGCTCCATCTTCATTCAGTGAGGTCACTGAACCTTTGCATGCTTCACAGTGCAAACACATCTTGATTTGAGTCATATTTGGCAGCCCACTGAAGTTCATCTAGCTGAAGCTGTTCTAGAAACTCTCCATTAAAGGTCTCTACTCACAAATAGATTGTGTAGAAGTGTGAAGTGCGGATGGTTGGGGCTGCTTTACTCACATCCACAGCTGTGTGCTCTTATATGGCTGTTCTAGGGATGTCAACTCTCTATGACTTTATACAGACCCAGATTTAGAAAAGGCCTGAAGCACGAGCCTTTGACTTGAATTTAGGCTTGAAACTTAAGTCTTGTTTGATATCATCCACCATTATTAGGGTTAGATGGATTGACACAGAACTTGTAACTGAACTTGTAACCCCCCCCCCCCCCCCCC